ACTCAAAACGGCAATAAAATCAAAGCCATAAATATAAATAGGTTGTGTTCCAAATTTGAGGAGCTTTCGGTAACAGTTTGTTTGGGGGTAGTAACATATTTTCCCCAGTGGGTGCCAGCAAAACCCCACTGGTACTCACAGTGAAAGTGGGGAATAAACAGGAATAAAGTGATATTTGTTTTATAGGCCAAACCTAAAAAAAAAATGGCACCATCTGAAAAAAATAAATAGTAAAAAATTAAATTTTGAAGCCTTGCCAACAGAATGAAAGCCTCTTAACAAAGACTGCATAATTTTATAGTTAACTTAACCGGGGATTAAAAATTGCAGTTTTAATGGGTTTCAATGGGGACATTTTTGTCCAAAAGGTACTGAGAGGGAGTATTTTTTTTACCTAATGCAAAAAATATTTTAAGAAAATGACGGTGAAATAGTAAAATTCCAATAAAAATACACACCTGTGCCAAATTTTTTGCAGTTAGCTTTAACACAGGCAAAGTGACAAAAAAAACAAAAAAAAAACTGAAAAGGACAAAAATGTCCATGATGTCCACAAGGGTTAATACTACTTCCCTGAATGTTCTGTAGTGTTTCTGTCTCGTTTCATTTCACAGTGTGATACTGTGCATTGTGTACAGATATCTTGTACACAATGCAAGTTCTTCAATGAATCACCTTCCACTAAATCAGTGTGTATATGTTCCCTTAACACTGCCCTTCACGCTGCTCAACACTGTTCCTCCCCCATCTTCAGCTGATGAGAGGCTGCAACACTCGCACAAAGGCATCATTCACTGCTCTGCTTACGTAACTCCACGCGAAAGCAACTGCATTTATTCTCAGAGGTAAGCACAACATTCTCTGAAGTTATGAATCTTAGTGTAAACAGTCTCAGTCTGAACCAGAGAACCAGTTGTGCATTATAACCTGCAGAAGTAAGTGCGTCATTGTGCTGCATCACGCATTGTTAAACACTGCACTTTACCCAGAATTCTTTAGAGATTACTCTTAATGGCTGGCAGAGAGAGACATCTGTCATCTGGCCAGATAGGTATTATCCAAGAACTATTTGAGTCCTTCATCTTTTGTTCTTTTTGGCTCAGGACAGAAATTTGCACATCAGCAGAGCCTTGCTGTCGGAGTTGGGGTGCTGCAAGTATTTAGAAAACTAAGGAATTCTTGCTGCTCATCATTCTCAATTAAAGGATTTGGATCATGTTGACTGGTGCACTTTGATGTTAATGACATTAAGCCGGAGATCTGAAGCCATTCAGCTGCACACAATTTCAAAATCATTTGTGATTTATACATTTCACATCTGGAAGTGAGGTGTGGGCAGGTTTTTATTTATTTATTTATTTTTTTGCATACGTTCGTTCTATGAATCGCACGTACATATATTTGAGAAATGATCGTAAGACCAAATGTAGCATGGTTTCTATGCAACGTTTTATAAATGAGACCCCAGGTTTGTTTTAATAAGGTCAAGTGAGGTCAAGGATAAATGCAATTAAAAAAGGGAAATGACCATGTCACTTTTTATTATTATTACATTGTTTCAAAGCTATGTGCTGGCTGACTTTACTGACCTGTGCAGATTTATTATTTTTTATTTTTTATTATTATTTTTTGTGTGTGTGTAACAGAAAATACACTGTAAAAACGAATATAAATAAAATAAAAATAAACAAACATAAAATTTAATAATAATTAATCAAATTAATTCTTTAAAAGTTAACCATTTAAAATGACTTACAACAACAACCAAAAAAAACGTAAATTGAAGTCACCATTATGGTGATCGGTGTTCTGCTTGTTAACATCAGGTGTCTTCAATGTTGCCAATATAAAATAAAGAGTTCTCAATTAATCTTTGACGTCTGTCTGTTAGTGAGATATTTTTTTATATATATATATTTTTGGTGTAAACTTTACTTATTTTAAATGGTTAACTTTTAAGGAATAATTTGATTAATTATTACTCAATTCTAATTGGTTAAATTTAATTAATAATATTGCTTGTAATCTGTTCCCACAATTCTATTGATTAGATAAAGCGTATTCATTTTTACAGTGTTTTACAACAGTAAGTTGTAAAAAGCCAAATAAAATATTGGAAATAACATGATGACTTGTTACATAATCTTTTTTCTTTGAATTAATTTTGACCTTGTCTAATTTTGATTAATAAAATGTATAATCTGAACTATAAATCCAAAATAAAAATACATGCATGCATGGATGTATATAGCAATAATCAAGAGTAGTGCCCAGTCAACGTTAAACTAATGCCAACATGATTTTCATTTAACTTACTGTATATGTTATGTTTTTATGTACAGATTGCATATCATTGGGCCTATACAAAAATAAATCCGTTTTAACATTAAAGACATGTTTGTTTGGGTTGCCAAATGTAAAATCTGGATTATGAAGCAAAAACAGTTGAAACTAATGTATTAAACTCATTTTTATAGAGAAGGACAAATACTTGTGAATGTTGTGAAGAACAAAATGTTGTGAGAAAAACAACTAACACAGACCAAATTTGCCTACACATTCATTCAGAATGAGATTTTGCTTTTTTTTTTTCTTAAATAATGCCAAGCAGACCTGGGATTTGCCAAAATAAGGGCTGAAAAGTGAAAGTCTGTAAGCAGCACAGAGGGGTTAGTTGGTCCATCTGCACCAGAGCCTCATTTCATGACACAACACTGATGTCTGTTTCTTGGCTCAGTGAGTCATCCCGTTTTAGCTGTGTTGGCACAGTGCTATGTGGCTCTCTGTGCTAAGGCCACATCTGTCAAACTGAAACTCTTTCTCATGTTTCAGATTCAAAATCAATGAACCATTGTGCAGCTGTCATCAACACAAGCAAATGAAGCGTACATTTGCATGCATTTGTAGAATGACTGGACAAACAGCGACAGTCAGTGTGTGTGCACATACAGAAGGCACAGATTTCTCCTGGCCACCTGCTCTAGTGACCCAAAAGCTTTGGTTTCATGTTTTTATTATTTACATTAACACTTATGTTTAATCTCTAGTTCTCCAGTCAAATCAGCATAATTTAGAACTAAACACACTTATGTGAACTAAATTAAACACACACAAATGAAAATTAAAGCATAATGAACTAAATCAAACTTTTAGTTCATTACTGCAAAGTCATTTTAACAATGGTCCAGGACAATGAAAAGTGAAATTATCGCAGAATTTAAATATATTTAATAGGGCTGTGCAAAAGTTAATTGCGATTAATCGCATCCAAAATAAAAGTCTGTGTTTACATAATATATTTGTGTGTGCTGTAGATAATTATTTTGTATATATAAATACCTATGCATGCATGTATATATTTAAGAATTATTTGCGCTTAAATTCTGTATATATTTATAAATACATAATCTATATTATAAAAATATAAATATTTGATATATGAATAACACATTTTCTTAAATATATACATGCATGTGTGTGCATTTATATATACAACATAATTATATACAGCACACACAAATATATTATGTAAACACAGACTTTTATTTTGGATGTGATTAATCGCAATTAACTTTTGCACAGCCCTAATATTTAATCATTCAGTGCTCTTCAGTGCACCAGTTGGTGGCAGTAATGCATGCACTGCATTGTCTCCAAAAATAATGCCAAAGTGCATAAAATCTTGATGAAATGGCTTCTCGAACAAGAATAAATGAAGAGCTGGACTTGATTTTGTCCATCAGGAATTGACAGGATTATTGTGGTTTGATATTGATCTCATATGAGTGACAGATTGTCCTGGCCTGAGTGCCAGTAAACACATCATCAGAGAAGAGATTTCATTGCAAGAGGGAGAGGGGAAGTCATTTTGATTAAACATAAGAAATAGTAATAATAATGATAACAATGTGCATGAATAAATCATTTATGATAAATACGGCAATATTCCTGTAAAATCTTTAAACCTTAAGATCTCCTCTTGCCTTTAGGCTCTTGAGCATGACACTAAACCCCAAGTATCTCCCGCAGTGTCTACAGCATAATAAGCATAATAATAATCTTTTGAATAAAAAAAAAAATGTTAAAGTGCTAAATTACAAATAACTACCACGCAGTGAATGAAACTCGTGAAAGTACACTGTGCTGTGAGAAGTCAGCCCGATTAACAGTATTCTGCTGACCTCTAGTGTATGAGCTGGAAACGGCAGGATTTTCCATCACACTATTTTCCTCTTTTCATGTTTGTAATGTTGTCTCCAGGTGCAGTTCTAGCTAGGATCAACGCGTTTAAGCATTTTAAATCGACATCGCTGGACACTGCATCAAATGAGCGAATTTTTCTTTAACATATAGCCTACAGTAGTTCATTGAAGAAATATTTTTCTTCAAAGAAAATTATGTAGGCTTACTAGGTTATAATATAAGATATTAATGCTACTCAACTGTAACCTAGTGGAATCATCCAAAAGCTGACCAAGGAATAAACTAAAGCTGACAAGATGATTAATTGAATGGCCTGCATGGGGCCAGATTATCATTTTATAAAAACAAAAACAAAACAAAAACTATGTGTAGCCAAGCAAAATCCGGTTATTTACTATAATTGTTAACTTTGTTAATTATTAGTAGCCTAACTAAAAGCCAAATTAATATGAGCCAGTTTATTAAATTATTTATGAAATTTTTTAAAATCTTCTTTAAATATCTGATAAAAAATAATATGTAGTTATGACAAAAGATTTAAAAACAATCGCTAATTCTCCAGTCAAATCAGCATAATTAGCCTAACTAAAGACTTGCGTGAAGATCAACTTTTGCTCAACTGTACAGCATGTGGAAATGAAAGCATGAACTTCAGAAGTGCAAAAGGTTATTTTAACAATGGTCGACTCGAGCTAACAGATTATCACTGAATTCAAATACATTACTAAGATTTTTCTATCCTTTCTTCTAAGCTCCAGTTGGTGGCAGTAACGCACCCAAAACCTGTCAATGAGCCGCCATTAAACCTCAGAAGTAGAGGAGACCAAATGGTTTTCCCGAAACTTCTATCTTTCTTTAGGTCGAGGACCATCGTGCGAGCAGGAGCTGTTTCATCTTCTCTTTTAAGGTGAGGTTTGGGTATCAGAACAGCACACATATATTGTTCATCTCAATATAATTTTTTTTTTTAAATCTGTAAAATATAATGCAGTAGTCTTACGTTATAGTAAAGACTGATTTTATTGGTGTTTGTATTCGTGTAATAATTAAGTTCTATTAGTAACTATTCTTGTCTGCTAGTAACTAACATTATAGTATTAGCTTTTACATTATTGTAGTAATTATTATTGTAGTAGCATTTGTTTTTCTTAACATAACTGGGTGATTTTATTTTGGATCGTTTTGACAGTTAAAACACGTGTTCACAAGGGTCCACGTGTGGATACGAGTTCAGATTTGTTTATTAGCTAAAAATCTATTTCACCATTTGCGTAGAATTCACTGCATTTAACGTTAGACATACTGTTTTGAGCAATTTAGGTTGGTTATTAATCTCTAAGATGTATATGTCGTGCAGGCTGATCAGCGAGGTTGAGTCTGAAGTGACTCTTTCCTTTCCTGTATGTCTGCTAGATGGACATGGGGTGGTTTGAGGCCGTGTTGTTTACCCCCTATAGCATGGTTATAGAAACCCCAGACAAGCTGTTACAACATCTGCTCGAGGGTCTCAATATCTGCATGTCGAGTTTTCTTGAGAAATATATGTTCTGAAATTGTCTTTCTTTTGCAGCATTTTGGCCATGAGTTTGGTGCCATCTTATTCCATCACAGCTGCTTCAAGAAGGAAGTAAGTGTGGTCAACACACAATTCAGACAACTGGTTTTTTAGTTAAACCAGAGAATGTCTAATTGAAGAGAATTGGCACTGGCTGGTTACTTCGGGTTTCTGGACTGGCTGCAGTAACACGTCTCTGTCCATGCGGGGGCGCTCGCGGTCGAGTGCAGAATGAATGGGAGTCAATGGGGTTTCACCCCCAGAAACCCACTTTTCTCAGGATGTAATTTTTTGTCAACTAATTTTAAAGTTGCATTCAAAGAGGAGGGCTAAGATAATACGCTCAGCTAAAAAATGCATTTTTAAGTTCACTTATCTGTTCTAAAAATCCGTTCAAATCGGTGATGACGTCACACAATAGCAGAATGCTAGCGTGTTCCGGCCAACAACAGCCTAACCTGTAAGAAATCAAAAGGACATAAGTACTTGTTCATTCGACTTTTAGCCTATAATCTATATTGAACTTGTGGAATCAACAATAAAATCTATGTTTATTTAACGACAAGCAGGTGAAAGAGACACATTTAGCCGTTTAGCCCCATAGACTCCCATTCATTCTGCTCTCGCCCGCGATCACCTCCAGTGGAATTCTAATGGAACTGCAACCAAGATGATGCACAACGGGGCTAATAGGAAGTGCCAAGGCTCTCCGTTAGACGGGCTCTGGTTAAACTCGATATGTTCTCAGTTAGAGTCACTGCAGGCTCTCCAGCGAGGTTGAGTCATTGTGACTCTTGCCTTTCCTGTGATGTCTGCTAGAGAAATTTTGAGGTGGTTTGAGGCCTGCTGTGTTGCCCTTCCCAGCATGGTTATATAGTCTTCAAACATTTTAATTAGTTGTCCATAATCTTATGGTGAGTGTAAAATCTTATCTTACTTAATGTAAATATTCTTGTTTCTTTTACAGGGAGAAGCCGCTACTTTGCTGAGGTGTTGATCAAGAAATGTTCATTTTGAGTAAGACAGTAGTGAATATTGCATACAGGACTGCCATTTAGCATTTTTAATTTGTCGGTTCAAATATTGAGGAATGTTATATTCAAGGTTTTGACGTATGAACACTGTTTTGGATGAAATATTCAGCTAAATAAAGAGGATTTTCTTTTAAAGAAAGCAACTATTGTTTCTGTGTTTTTGTGTTTGATTGAATGAAAAGAATTATCAGAACTTGTTTTTAACTGTTCGATCATATACTATTCCATCTTATAACGTGGCTATTTGCCACAAATTATTGGAAATTACTCATTAATTTGTTGATTAACTTGTAATCAACTCAAAGTTTCTGCAAATTAAAGCAGTTCTTGGCAAATTACTTGATGTGTTTGGGAAATTTGGCTATTAACATGTAAAGCTGTTAATGTGAATGAATAAATGGTGTTATTGAATACTAGTGCAGAATAATTTTGTGTGTTTTTAGCTCTATGGTTTTTAGCAATTGATGGTTTGGTGCTTTTGCATTTACTAAAAATGATGGCTGTGAAAGAGACTGCGTATGCTTAACACAAACAGCGAAGCTGACTTACAGATTCAGTTAACAAATGAATAAGTGTGACGATTCAGGGAGCAAATCTGCGTTAAATATAATATTAAGAAGTAAGCAGAGTAGCTGATTTACAGATTCAGTCAACAAATGTATAAGAATGTTTATTTTTAAACCACAAACCTCTCTAATGTTAGAATGCTGTCTATTACAGATACTGTATATTTACTGATATCTTTTGCATTTCTAATTCAAACATCAAACTCGGCACTGCACTTACTCGTGCCCGTAGCAAGACACTTGTCAAATTTGAGATCTATCGGACTAACGGTTCGAGATATGCGATTAACAGACAAACGTTCCTGTAATTTATAGATAGATCGATAGATAGATAGATAGATGATTTTGTTTTAGCTACTATTTGTAAGTGGTGAAACACTTTTCCTTTACATATTTGCCAAGGCAAACATTCAAATGTCTGCCCATGGTATATGATGTCAGATGTAAATTTTTTTTATCTCATTCTGTAAAACGGAGAAAGCAGGGTCTGCTGCTTGTGGAGTTCTTGCTTTTGACCACTAGAGGGCAGCATTTACCTGAATGTGTGTAGAAAACTGTCTGTTTGTTACTCGCTTGATTTCACTGGGTTTGAGATTGCAAATTCAGTGGTCAGAACAAGTCACACTATTCATGTCCACTGTCAGTCAGTCTCACTCAAATGTGCTCTAGTGTTGAAGGACTGCAATCGCACTAGCTCCATTTCAAAGTTACTCTTATTACCCCATTACTAAGTTGCTTTTTGAAAAGGAAGTAAAAACAAGCAAAGTGAATGAAATGTTTTAGAACTTTACTGCATATTAAGTGCAATTGAATTCAAATGTATTAAATTTGTTTTAAATGCAATTATCTAATCTTTAAAGTGTTGTTTGACATTTAAGTTGTATAGCCCACATCTTTGGATGAAATTTCATAATTTGATTGTTTTTAAATATGATTGTATGTAATTTCTACTGAAACATGTCTGTCATAGGCCTATATTTAAATATATTTTACACGTTAAATTTTACTTTGAATGGAACATTTATGTTAAAATTGTAATTTTTACATACTACAATTTCTTAAAAGTACACAGTCAATACAATGAAGCACACTTTTTTTTTCTTTTTCAACGGTATCTCTCTTGTATTCTACCGCTCCAATACCGACAGAAGGTGAAATGGCATGACAACTGGTACAGTATCAAGATTAAAAAAAGAAAACGAAAGATCTCTTCACAGCTCCTTCATCATTGCAAACTGCACATTTAATGCCCATTCAGTGTATAACACACACTTCTGAAGCAAATACATGAACTGCCATGTGCTGAACCCTGGTTATAAATCCTCTTAGGCAGATGAGGAAGCATGTGCGCCAGCAACCACACAGAATTACTTGTTTGCTGAATGTTGAAAATGTCTACTCTGACAAAAAAAACACTCATACTGGGCACCTGTTAGCTTGAGTTGTTTGAGGAACACTTTGTTGTATTTGCTGAGCTGTTTTGCAATCAAGTGATATAACAAAGTTCTTGTGCTACTGTGATCTTATCAGCTCCATGTTATGCTGTTATTACTCAACAAGGGGCAATTGTGCTCTCTGATGAAGACACAAAACCTTATGATCCTACATTGAGATATTTGTTCACTTTTATAAATGAAAAGCTCACAAACATGCCTTTCAATTAATTAAGATACCAAATGCAGGTTATAGGCTATGGGTCTTGCATTTTAGCTTTAGTGGGCGTAGTTCTACACACACACACACACACACACACGTTGGGTTTACATGTTTTATGAAGATATTCCATAAACATGATTTTTATACTGTACAAACTGTATTTTCTATCCCCAAACCTGTGTGTGTATACACTCTTTGAGTTATTCCTCATCAAATGTGAAATATTACATTTATAAAATAAAAATCTATTTTAATATATTTGTGTATATTTGTGATGGCAAAAGTTGAATTTTCAGCATCATTACTCCAGTCTTCAGTGCCCTTCAGAAATCAGTCTTAAATTTAATAGGCTTGATTTGCTGCTCAAGAAACATTTCTTGCTATTATCAATGTTTAAAATAGTTGTGCTGCTTAATTTTTATATTAAATTGAATTGCTTGTTTTTGATCTATTTTTTTCAGAATTCTTTGATTCATTGATCAAAGTATTCATCAATAAAAATAAGGTTGACATGAAATGGAAGCTGCTAGTCTTTTCTTCCCTATTATGATGAGTAAAAATGCTTCTTGAACAAGTAAAAAAAATGCAGATTCGGATTTGATTTTGTCCATATGAAATTGATTGGATGGTTGTAGTTTGCTATTTCTGTGATGTCATATGAGTGACAGGTTGCCCCGCCCTAACGCCAGTAAAGTGGTCATCTGAGAAGAGAGGGATGCAAAGTTTTTTGATTAAAAATTACGAGGGTAAATGAATAAAAAACAAATGATGTGCAGCACGGATAAATCTTTTATATGAAATACTTTAGATATAGGCTATTTCAATGCATTCTCATCCCAAGGCGTCATATATAGGACACTTTTGCCAAAGCGTAAACATCCAACGCACATCACATGGCACCCTTTAGCGTCAAATGAGACGCTTCGGTTATGGTAGGTTTATGAATGGGGTAGGGTTAGGGTTAGAGCACTAGGAGGCGCCTTCTCACTTGACGCTAAAGGGTGCCATGTGCGTTGGATGTTTACGCTTTTTCGCAAAAGCGTCGTATATTACGCCTTGGGATAAAAAAGTGCAATATTCCAAATAAAAATAATAATTAAGTCTAACGTTGATACGGCCGATTTTCCTGTACCTATTGGGGTCTCTACATATGTTCATGATGAATATGTAGGCTACAGAGCTGTTGTGTGTCAGTCAGTCAGTCTATGGGACGATATTAGAGGAGGAGGAGGAGGAGGAGGTCACATGTCGCGAGGAGGAGTCTCCGCTGAAAACAGAAAGCCTGGTGTGCAGCAAAGAGGACCAGAGCACAAACTCCTGCTGTCAATACCAGGACTGAGGCTCTATTATAAAGACTTTGGCTATATGCGTGCGCTTTTGCATATAGGATATATTTTTGGCGGATTTTCTGTAACTGGCTCAACGCGCGGGTTCATCAATTGTTTGTTCAAAGTTCATACGAGATGGAACTGGAATGCCGTGAAAGTATAATGTGGTGTAAATCATCTTCTTCAAATTAATTCGCGCGACTTCAAATGAGGACAATTATCAAGCAGCGTTTCTGCATGATGGATATGTACATTAACGACATCAGCGAACTTGAACGACTTTGTTTCTAACTCGAGCGTTGGAGTTTACTATGTTGTCAGACTCAGGTTTAATTGCGCGACGGAAGGATTTAATGCAAACATTAATGCAGTAAGCGCGTGTGCGGCGCGTTTCAGCGCGTGCGTGTGATGTGCGGGACGCGGTCAAGGCGCTGATGCGATCCACTGATGTCCTCCGAACAGGTGAGCAAAATACAGAACCTAATAGTGATCACCTAAATACTAGGCTGCAGTGAACAATTGCTACTAATGTAAATGTAAAACCATAATAGATTAAAATTGGATCTCATGAGAATCCTTCTGTCATTTAAACTTTCTTGATGACAGACAGAGGTATAGCCTATCAAATTACCAATTTTATTGCAGTGACAATAACTTTACAACCATTTGGTTCAAGTATTCAGGCAACTGTACTTTAATGTTGCTATTTTCACAACATTAATAATGCATACAGCTCTACAAGTCAAATAGGCTACTCTAAAGTGAATAGGAACAGGATCTATGTAAAATCAAGTACAAAATAAAGGTGTGTGTTGAACAAATAGCCTAACACAGAATTGCGCTGTTTCGGGGTTTGCTTTTACATGTTTAGTGGAGGTCAGGTGCCTGTTCTCTCAACAGTTGGTGTTCTGAGTAAAGGAACCAAATATATCTTCAAATAACAGTGCTATTTGATCGATTTTTATAATTTAATACGAATTTCTCTCTCATTTGATCCAAACCGTATGAGTTTTTCTTTCTCGTTTATTCTCTTATTCATTCTCTCAAATTGAGTTTGCTGAGATTTCAAGCTTCAAAGCTGCGCAAAAACACCATAAAATCTAGCCTAAAACCAACAAACCTGGTTCATATACAACTTCTCCTCTTATGCTATAGAAAACAGTTGCTTTGTGTGAAGAACAGACCGACATTTTAGTCATTATCACTGAATAATATCCCCTGCCTCCAGTGAGCTGTAACTGCTACGACTGGATGATTAGGTCAGTCAGTGAGACTGATTTGTGAACGAATCATTCAGATCAGTTTTGTGAACTGATGCATCGAAAAGAACAGATTAATTTGTGATTCATTCACGACTCAAATAATACTTTACTTGCTGTACAAGACAAATTTCAAGGTTGTTTCAAATTTCAATCTTTTTCTCACACAAAACTATGCATTAGCCTACTTCAGAAGAGTCAGATATAACACATCACTCTTTGGAAACATTTGGGCAACTACGTTTTTATCCATTTAGTTCTTTTTTAATCTTGAATGCATCAGTAGGCGACATATTCTATTTTTCAATCTTCCACAGATAAAGGTTTGAAACAACATGAGGATAAGTAAATGACGCCATCATTTTTAATTAGATGCAAAATAAATAAATGAACAAGCCAAGGTCAGAACAAACTGACTTTATTAGTAACCGAAATTAATAGTGGTCAATCTTATGTCAGAATATTAGTCATTTTATAGCCTGCCCTACATGGTGGTAAACATTGCAAAAAAAAACAACGCATTCTCATCCCAAGGCGTCATATACTGACGCTTTTGCAAAAGCGTAAACATCCAACGCACATGGCACCCTTTAGCGTCAAATTGTCTGGAGTAGGGTTAGACCACTAGGTGGCGCCTTCTAGCGCATATATATCTGCGTCTCATATTGACGCTAAAGGGTGCCATGTGCGTTGGATATTTACGCTTTTGCAAAAGCGTCAGTATATGATGCCTTGGGATGAGAACGGGCTCAAAAAAATTAAATATTTTTTTGCTTTCTATATCCAGCTCTCTATGTAAAGTAGGTATATGTCTTACTTTATTGGCATGCATTATCTATAGCATATCTCTTGTATCCTTACAAAATGTAAACTATATTATCACCCATCTCTAATCTGTTAAAGGTAACTATAAGGCATAAAGATGTTAAGATATCATAAGCGTTGCGTCATGATTTTATATAAAGCTGCTTTAAAACAAGCTTTGTGAAATGTGCTATACAAATACATTTCATTTGACTGGATTTGAATTCATATAAAGTAAAATGGCCTTTAAGTTTGTTTAAAAAGTTCCAAAAGAAGCCAATCAAGTTTGAGAATCAGAACCGATGCACAATTATTGGGGGTTTAAGGAGACCCTCATGTCACGATTTGATACATATCACAATACTGAAGTCGCGATACAATGTTATTGCGATACTCCAAGACATTTGATAAATGGTTAACTAAATGCCAAAAATGCTTTAGATTGAAATGCTAAATTTGGTATTACATTGGGGGTGTAAATGAAATGGTGACACCAGAATAAAAATATTAATAAATCTGAAGCTGAAAATCCAGAATTGTTTTAGACGAATATGCTAGCACTCTGTCACTGATTAGATAATTAGAATAATGTAGGACAATTTTTACAGAGACATTTGGCACTATCAGGTATTGTATTTTATTTAATATATTCAACATTAAATAGAGTTTAATGTAGTACTACTGACACTAAAACTCTGTAATTTAGATTTTTTTTTTTCACACATAATTTTCATTTTGTGTAAATTAGACACAATACATATTGATACATATTAGGGCTGTCAAATGATTAAATCGCGATTAATCGCATCCAAAATAATAGTTTGTGTTTACATAATATATGTGGGTGCACTGTGTATAATTATTTTAAATATATAAATTAACACACATGCTTGTTTATATTTAAGAAATATTTTCATGTATATATATAGATTTATATATAATATATTTTATATAGAAATAATATTTTTTTCTTAAATATACATGCATGTGTGTGTATTTTATACACATTGCACCCACATATATTATGTAAACACAAACTTTTATGTTGTCTGCGATTAATCGTTTGACAGCCCTAATTGTGACACCCCTAATAATTATATATGAACCAATTTATTACCAATATAAACGTTGGTTCATTGTTAGTTCATTTGTGTTTCCCAAGTGTTTCTCTTTATTTACATGAATTTGTCCCTTTCCTTTATTCAATATAATCCTCTGCATATAATCTCCACAGGAACTCATCCGTGCCCTTCACCAGCCAAGTCTTGACCTTCCAGCATTCAAACAGTGAGGCACAAGCACTTTATTTTTGAGCCACATTAACCCACACTGCTGGTCGCTTCACCACCTCAGTGGACTCATGGGTACCGTACTATCCCTCTCGCCGGGTTCTCGAAAACCTGCTTATTATGACGGGCGGCCTGGTTCCCTAAGCCATTACCCGAGCCTGAGCAGCCGCTCGCTGAACACTCAAAAGGACCGCAACCTCAAACGCCATTCCATTTTCCTCCCCGCTCTCACCTGGAAACGACTGGTGGCCTCCACCAAGAAGCGGGGCGAGTCCAAAAAAGCCTATCCTGGAGGTCATGGCGCCGTTGGGGTTCCGCTCAACAACAACAACATCATCTACCAAAAGGATCCGGTCTTGCACCTCAACCACGAAAATGTGAAAAAGTCTCTCTCCTGCGCCAACCTCGCTAGCTATGAGGGTGCAGCGGGTCTAGGCCTGGGCTTGGGTTACGGAAAACCGCAGCAGATTTCCTCCGTTAAGAAGACTTTGCCTACATGCGCTTCCACACCCAAGCGCGTGATCGTCCAGGCCTCGACTAGCGAGCTGCTTCGCTGCCTGGGCGAGTTTCTGTGTGGCCGCTGCTATCGGCTCAAGCACCTTTCCCCCGCGGATCCGGTTCTGTGGCTGCGGGCTGTGGACCGCTCGCTCTTGCTCCAGGGCTGGCAGGACCAGGCCTTTGTGACCCCGGCCAACGTGGTGTTTGTGTACATGCTGTGCCGTGACGTGGTGGATGGCGACGCGGTGTCTTCAGAGCACGAGCTCCAAGCGATTCTACTAACCTGTCTGTACCTGTCCTACTCCTACATGGGGAACGAGATCTCGTACCCGCTCAAGCCCTTCCTGGTGGAGGCGGGTAAAGAGGCGTTCTGGGACCGTTGTCTGGCCATCATCGACGTCACCAGTGCCAAGATGCTGCGGATCAACGCAGACCCGCATTTCTTCACGCAGATCTTTGCCGACCTGAAGAGCGAAGGGGGTTGCGCTTTGCAGGACTACGCTAGAGTTCTGGATTGGTGAAAAGAGGACGTCCTCTGCGAAAGTGACACCGTCAGCATCCCTCACCTTCATTCTGGCCTCGTCACAAAACAGTACGAGTCTCGCTTTTACTGAGAATTCTGCGAGAAACAGAAAGATGCAACATATTCCTGGCTGCTGAAAAGACTAGCTTACAGTCCAGGCTGGCTCATGTTGGTTGGGTCGCTGGTCTAGCTGGTAAACCGTTGGCCGTGTATCCACCAAAGCGTTTTTCCACGCGCCTGACGTATGTTTTCAATTGTTTTCAATGGGAGCGCTGCGTTTTTTAAACGCCATGAGCGTACCGAGGCTATGAGCGGTTTTTTCACGCTGAAGCGCCGAGGTTTTACTGGTCGCTGAGAGTTGAAAAATGTTCAACTTTGGATAAAACGCAGCGCTCATCACTGTCACTTTTTACCCAGCCATCCAATCACAGTGGAGGAGGGGCGGGAGTAATACCACACCGACCAACTGTCACAACATTCAAACTGTGTTGCGGATATTGTGTATCATAGCAACGAAACGCCTCAACGGAAAAAACGCTGCGCTGCCAAAACGCTCTCAAGCGCGGCATCCTCAGCAGAGCGTCTAGCGTTTTAAGCTGGCTAAAAACGCTTTGGTGGACACACGCATAGATATCTATATAAAGGCTAGATGTGTCGTCCACGCTGCTGGCCAATGGAGGTCGACGTCTGCACCTGGCGGCCATCTTGTCACAGGCAGCTCGCTCATTGGTAACATTGTTTTAATGGTGCATGTACTTTTTTAAATCACCGTAGCTTCCTCAATTTTCTACCGATTTTCAAACAGTCTGGTTTGTTATAAACGGCAGAGATGTAGTTATGATACTGCATACTTATGAATAATACGTGTATAAATAAATAATCATCCAGAATTATAGCCACATTAATAACGTTTGTAAGAAACCAAATAGTTTGTAAATCCGTCAAGATTTCAACGAGATAAGAGTATTTGTTACATCAGATACCACAGAGCCCGCCAGAAAGCCTGTCTGTGACAAGATGGCCGCCGGTGATGACGATGGAAACTCCGCCGTAGCACATCTAGCCTTTATATACATATCTATGGACACACGGCCTATCTGTGATGGTCTTTTCAGCCGGAGAAGAAAGTATATGGAGACAGCATGAAAATAACATACAAGGTTCATTGTTGGCATTGATGGAGAACCCATGGGACTTTTCCATTCCTCACAATGTTCTTTAGTTTATTAATAAGTTCTTCACACTTCCCTAAAAGGTTCTTTGAGGAATTTAAGATACTTCTTCTATATGGCATCACTACGAAAACCCCCTTTTGGCACCTTGACTTACACAAAAACTGTTTACCCGACTTATTATTTTCATTTTTTTTTTTAAAAATACACATACTAATAATTTAGGGATGAACATCACATTGAAGGGAGTAATTGTCCATCTACAGATTATGTTTGTCAAAACCAGCCTTTTTCGTACCGGTAGTTACGATTCCTTTGCTCAACCTTTCGCTTCCTCTACCTTTTCAACATCTAGTCTGAGATAAACTGCAACAGAAACCATATAACAGCGAAACCTTTAGTGGGAGTGCATGTGTGTGTGTGTGATGGGCACAAACAGTGAACATCAACAGCTGTTAGTGATCGTGTTGTCCTTCCTTTATTTCATGTGCTGGACGTTAGGGCACCAACTGCAAAGGCATTAACAAGATTAACAGATTAGTGTCACACGTGCACACAGAGTTCTCAATGCCTCTCTTTGATCGCCAGCTCTATAGGTTGAATGAGTGATCCATGTAGGCCATACACACTAGTATATATTCTGTGTTGCATGTCTAATAGCAGCAGTGTCATATATAATTTGTATCCGCTTTTAATGAGTCTATAAGAGTAAGTCAAATCCCTCTAGAGCAAGAAATATATGAACAAAGAAGCCTGGATTCTCTAAAGAGATATTTACTTGTCTCTTTAGAGTTTTTCAGTTTCTTTATGCTCTAAGGTCAACATGAAATCAATTTACTTTCCTAACACACACTCCTGGTCCTATTTTTGCACGATTCATCAGTGCACGTTATTCCTAAATCAAAGCCACCTCTGCCTCTGAAGCTACTTGCTCAAAGAATAAAATGAATAGATAAAACACATGCAGATACAACAGATGCCATGGTCTCTGGGTCAGGGTTTCAGGTGTCAGCGCTCAGACAGAAGAGCAGGGACAGCAGCATGTGGCGCGGAAAGCACTCCCTAATCTTATTGTAGCGTTTTAACGCAGGGTCATGGGTGCCATACTCCAACTCCCCTGCAAAAGTCAACTCTAAACGCATACTTCAGCCCACTCAAACGACCTGGAACCACTAAGCATTCATTTTCAGGCTAGTGATCGCAAACGCACTGATACGCATGTCTATCGTTGCAAGTTCTCCCACACGCCGAAGCGTAATCCGCTCTTGATCCTTGCCAGCAATTAAGCAAAGTGAGCTGAAAATGCCACAATAACAAAATACCATTCTGATCAGAAGAGATTTCTCTTCCTAAAACTAACAAAAACGACACATCTTGTGTTTTGACGGTTCGTTGCACAGATGTCATGCAACAAACATGGCAAAATAGTGATCTTTTAACACATGCTTAAATACATGCGTAATTGCGAGGGATTGAAACTAAGAAAATACAAGGTTTCTCTTTAAAATCGTTTACCCTTGTGAAAAAGAAGTATGTAAAGTATGTTTTAATTGTTCTTGCAGAATGTTAATGGTATAAAAGGCCACAAGTGTACACTTTCTTACACTACTTTACGCAAAATTATTGTTGATTATTTTGTTTTAATAATCTTCTGCCACGCTTTAAAGAAATACACTTCTGTAATGTATAATAACAAATATGTTTAAGTGCATAAAAACAAACAGTACACTTAAAGAGCACTAGCAAATGTATTGACAAGCATTTATGTGTGTATTTAAATATATATTTATACAGTCTATCCGATTATAATACATTATGTGAAAGTGTACTTCCTTTTCACAAGGGTGAAGACGTCATAAAATTCAGATTAGAGTTCATGATATTCTCCACTCTGTAAAAAAATATTAAATTAAGTAACCTGGTTGCCTTAAAATTTTAAGTTGATTGAACTGGAAAAAGTGAGTTAATACAACGAAGAAGACTGATTTAAACATCAGAAACTCAAAATAATAAGTTATCTGAATTAAATCAATTATTTAAGTTGATTTTTTTTTACAGTGAAAATGGCAAAATAACTTTTAGCAGATATGCAAATGAATGTTTTTTTTAAAGTGCATCTGCATGGAAGATACAGCTATTAAGAAAACACAATTTGAAATATGACCACGTATACCATGATTTGTAGTAGTCTTAATTGTGAGCCCATAGGCTGCTTTGTGCATGGTCACAGTACTTATTCCCTGCTAAACACAGTTGCATAGAGCAAGAGATCCAAACCTTATCTATCTACAGTTCTCCATATCCATTTCAACCTCAGGGGATGATGTTATTTACAAAATTTGAAACTTGAAAAGATTGGCATACTATAGGGTGTAAATATCCCTCCTGGTCCGCTGTGATTCCCTCATCCTTCTCGCCGTTCACAAATAGTATATCATTGTTTTCCTAATCCTGGTTAAAGTGATTTAGTTTGCCCCTATTGTGTACAGAGAGCGTTGACAGAGCGCCGTTGTTGTACTGCTAGCGTGCGCAGCCTCAGCAATGGGCTTGTGCGATGAGTTTTCTCTTTCTCCATTGATTCTCTCACATGTGTACTGAAACTCTGGGATTCAGGTTCTCCTGGGAAGTTCCTAATTCTGAAGTTTTAATGACATGATGTACATTCAAGTGATTTTGGTTAGAATAAAATGGATGTTTTACGCATATTTATTTCCTTTTTTTCCCCCATCATGACAATAGACCTTATGTAGCCCCGCCCCTTTTCAGCGTTGCGCTCGTTGTCTTTTGACTTCCGGTCTGTATTTCCACAGCGATCTTGCATAGGTATGAATGAACTGCTCATAAAAAAAAATCCCGTTCGACATTTGTTAAGACATCTGCTTTACAATGCTTATGATAAACATTACAATGCTCATGATAACTTTTGTTAACTCTACAATAAGTAAATCCACTTACTCCTCGACAGCGATGCCATAGAAATATACAGAACCGGAAGTTCAAAGACAATATTCTAAAGATGACGGCGCCCATGTTTCTCTGGTGCATAAGGTCTATATAAAGGAAACAAATATGTGTAACTCATTAGCTTTATTGCTAATCCTCATCATCATTACACAAAATGCATTGTAAATTCAAAATGACACCTCATTATGATAAATATAGTCATGATTCTTTCATTGATTTCTACTTAAAATTGAGGCATTGTAGTGGTGTTCCTGTGAGCTGGTTCGTATTCTAGTTTCCATACTTCCATACCTTATCCCAGCAAACAAATTTAGGTTCTGGGAACGTTAGTTTTGGGTTCCCGGAACTTTTCCTTAAGGTTCCGTTCCCGGAATATTCTCCTTACGTTTTAAAAATGGAACCTAAAAATAACCTACATGGAACGTTCTTGTTTGGTTCCCAAAAAATAACGTTAGGGGAACGTTCTGTGTTCGCTGGGATAATGCATATCTTTATTTTGAAACGTTTGTGCCTTGGAATATCTAAAGATTAGAGATATTTAATATCACTTTGCTAATAACACACGCATGCACACAAGCCCAGAGGAAAGCCGTGACTCAAAAAAGGATTGATTAATAGAGACGGGAAGGTTAATTTACTCAGGCTAGAATAATCAGATCTCATGAGCCATTTTCCACTCCATCAATGCTACTGTTTGGCAGAATTGCCAGTCAATCAAATGGACCTGAAACCGCGTCACGTCCTGATTACACCTCAAATGCTTCATGGACTGCTGTACGTGGAGATTTTTAATGTGACAAACCACACAGAGACCTCAAATCGCTATGGATTTTCCAACCGAGAAAACTTTTGTCATTAGACAGAGAGATTTCGTGGGTGGGATGACTGAATTAAGACACTGTATAACATGTGACTCTTTATTTGGACACTCAGGATCTGGATGTTGAGTAGGCTTCGCCATTACTCTATGAGTTATGGCTACTTTATCAATGTTTTCTATGCTGCTAAATGTATGTAGAATACAAAAGGAACGCCATGTAGAGTCTCTCACCGCAGAGACAGAAGCATTACCAGTGTGGTGTAAATATGTTGCTTGTATCAATGTGAAATGACTGAAAAAACTGCATG